ATTAACTCATCTAACTTTTTCCTCAGTTCCTCTAACGCTTTGGGAGACATCCTGTAGATCGGGCCCTTGGAGTCTTACTACTAGGTTCAATCTTGATTTGATGCTTGATCTCTCTCTCTCAACTACGCCGGTTAGAGCCTCTCCCACATCTATGAACTTCTTCAACAAATTCTGGACTTGGGGCGGTCTATCTCCTCCTCCTTTTTTCCCTCACTAACCGGTTTAACATAGGTGTCTAAGACTTGGTTAGCAAGATCCTGCTCGACCACGTGCCTAGCGAACACGGGGGCAAAACACAGTTTCTTTACTCATTTTTTACTAACATAACTACGCATTGAACCACAGTCTACTAACACTCCTATTCTCGTTCTATTAATCTCTACCTCTGCTAAGATTAACAATCCTTTATACTTTTTTTTCATCTCGGCCCAGGCTTGACATCGAGTGATCAATTCGTCACCAATGCCCGCAGCTGAATCACCTAGAGAGCCTCTAACACGAGCGGTCTCTAAACAGTCAACTAGGTAGGGACCAACATCAGCCTTTGCCACTGGGGTCCTCAGACAGGAGGTGCTTGCTTCAACGTGCGCTTCTACCTGTCTATCAAAGTATGAGGCCCCAGTAGGAGGAACTATGAATCCTACTGGTCATTCCCGCTTGACAGTCATCGGAGCTCGGGACAAAAGGGAATGATGTGGTTGGGGTCTCCACATCTAAAACACTGCCTATCCCTCTGACATCAGACAAATTCGGACATCTACATCACGATGTAGAGTTGTTCTTCCTCAACCCCCGGATACTGAGGGTACCTACATTGCCCGCTAGACCCCTGTCCACTGTCATTGGAGAGGGAATAGTTGTCCCCTTCTTTTCCTTGGTAGGCGGGATGGTGTGCCACCTTGTGGGGTACCATATCCCCTACCACCCACTTGGAAGCCCCCTTAGCCTCCAAACTCCTAGGTAGCCCATCCTCGGCCTCCACCTCTTTCACCTCAGCCTCTTCTACCTCGGCCTCCTCTTCCTTGCTCTCCCCCTTGGGCTGCTACGGTCACATAATCGCCTCCTGCAACTACTTGACCCCCATCAGACTACTGATCATACTCAAGGTGACCGTTGTCTACTTGTTCAAGGGGGATTTCCCATGCAGCTCCTCCCTCAAACATCACCAAAAGTTTTCTCTGGCCTGCACATTGCCAGAGATCATCCTGCCCTTCCACTTCTTTCCTCTCTCAATGTCCTTGAAGTAGTGGAAGTTGGTCTGCTCCAATAAGCATCCAACACTTTCAGCTCCTCTTCGTAGTGGGCAGCTCTTCCAATATCTGGCTCCCAGGTAAGTAGAATGCCCTTGCCCATTCCTGCTCCTTATATCTACATGTTGGGCGGATTCGCTGGGCTGGCTCGGGTCCCTTTGGGCCACTATCTCGATTCCCCCCTTCTTCTTCTTCTCCAACTTCTCCTCCTCTTTTTCTTCTTCCTCTTCAATCTTCTCCACCTCCTTCAACTTCTCTTCCAACTTTCTCTTCTCCTCTTCCAATTTTTTCTTCTCCTCTCTTTTTCCTCATTTTTCTTTTTTTTCTCCTCCTTATTTTTGTTATGCTGCTCTTCATGTCCCTTATCTCCCGGTTCCAACAATATTGTTCCACTCTGCAGCTCCCGCATGGCGAGGTATTAGTATAACTGGTAAAATATGTTCCACATCCTCACCACTTAGACCTAACCCTCAAAACTTACAACCTCAACTTAACCTCACCTAATTCTAAGGGTTGACCAGTCTAACAGGTGGCCAACCAGCTGTTTAAGGTCTGCGAGCAAGGACCTCAAAAATTATTTAACGACGCAATCAGAACGTCGTGGCCACCAATCTGAAGGATTACTCTCAAGACTTGAAAGTTCCTCACTGCTCTGCATGGTTCGGTCACATGCCAGCCAATAGCGGTCATTGGGCTAGATCGGTTGATTAATGAGCGTCTGCCGCGCATGCCCGTGCTTCCTATTGAAATCCACACCGACTTATTGATTTGTACAAATAATTTTTTTGTATCCTCCAGCAGCACCCGCCGCACACCAATAAGTACGAATCAGGTATATAACTATTTTCCCCTCTCCCTCATGTGTGACACTCCCTCTCTCTCTCATGTCTTGTGTCGCTCAACCTCCTTGTCATGCTCATGCTCTCGCTCGCTCTCATGGATCTACCCTGAATACAACTGTGATGTACTTCGAACCTCCACGACTATGGCCGTCTTCTTCCTCCTCCCTAGCTATGGTAACCAGACGTCTCCTTCCTTGGTGGGCACTCCTTTAGCGCACCCTTCCATCCACTTCGCACTGTAGCACAAGCAACCCGTATCGCTTCTGCAATTTGCGCATGAATAGTTGATCCCGCTGGCTGATGATCCGCCTCCCGAACATCTTCTGTTGGTTATGGGTTGGCCCTCGTGCCTTTGTTCCCTGCTTCTGGAAGCTCACAGACTCTCTTGGGTTGGCTGCTTGTATGGATTGACTCAGCTCTGGTGACCCTGGCTGAAGTTGTGGTGCCTCCTAAGGACCTACTCTTCAACCCATAACTATTATCTACCAGGTACTTCCTATCACAATCTACTTAGCTAGCTCGACTAGGCCTCTGCAACCGTGGTACAAACGAAAATTACTCTTCTAGAGTATTCATGCACATCGTACAAGTGGCTGGAACCACTAATAGAACACGGAATGGGATTCGGGATAAGAACCTGGGACTCAGAACTGGGACCTGGGACTTGGGAATGGGACTTGGGACCTGGGACTGGGACCTGGGACTCATGACTGGGACCTGCGACCCTGGTACAGCATGAAATCCTTTCAGAAAAGTAGAAGATAGATCAATAAGGTAAGATAGAAAGATAAAGAATCTTATTGGAGGAAAAAGGCAAGAGTATCCTAATTACTATAAGTTGAAACTGACCTTTAGGACATCCGGTAAAATTGGAGCAATACAGACAAGGTTAGCATGGCCCCTGTGCAAGGATGACACACATCAATTGAGGTTAAGCACTACCTCCTGGTTGACAGCCAGTGATGCTTCAATCTCCACAACTTCGTTCATTTTGGTGGTCTCATCACTGAAGAACATTCGAGAATCTGTTTGAGTCGTTTCGGGATTCTAGAATGGGAACTGAGAACCTGGACCAAGTGAGTACTACCTTCTTCCCCCGAATACAATGTACGGTCATTATAGCTGTGTCTAGACTGAAAGATGCCTCAAATACAGCTATAATGACCGTACGTTGTATTCGGGGGAAGAAGGTAGATAGGTAGGTAGGTTTCGAAAGAGTTCTTTGACTAAAGGGGAAAAGGTCATTGTCCTTCACGCGTATAAGGAGGGGGGAAGTACACTTTGTGTTTCTGGTGTACCTGCAGTGTAGAGAAGCTCCTTTCGTCATGTCACGCACCATGCTCAGGGAAAAAGTTGAAGTCAGGATTTTGTCACTTGAAGGGGTGCACAGAGTTGAAGGTGTGCCGACCAAACAAGAAACACATTGTCTATCAGAAGAAGGTTTATGCTTTCTTCCATTCACATCTATGATGGCCAGCTGCAGCCTCTCGGGATTGGCTATCTGTACGGTGTTGCTGTACGGTACCTAAATCAGTTGTATATCTAATAGTTGATCTTGGTTTATCCTCGCCTACAGAGCGCCAAGCGCCAACGTACGCTGAATAGACCCTCCTGAGCATGCCTTGTGGGCTACCACTCTGTAACTTCCCATGGTGTTGTTTGTTTCACGAAATCGCACATGTTTTTGCAAGCGCTTGCTGCCCAATAACCTATGATCTGATACTGCCCAATAAGCTATGATCTGATAGTCCGACTCTGTGGTCGCGCAAGAACAGTGATGATCCATGAGCCCTAAACCCTAGTCCACTCCATCAACCAACAACGGGACTGAACAGCAATTTCGTGGCAATGGCCATATTTTATTTTTTTGAACGATATTGAAACCTCATAAATTGGCCCGATTTAGGTGGAAATTTTAAGCTCTTGAGGGTACGGCTCCTTGAAACACCGGAACCCCTGGATGTATCGGAACTGAGCTGGCATCCGGGGGGTACGGGGTTTTCGGAACGCCGTACCCTCAGGAGCTTAAAACATCGACCTAAATCGGGCCAATTTATGAGGTTTCAATTTTGTTCAAAAAACAAAATAAATCAAATATGTCTGTTTTGACGAAATTGTTGTTACTTTAGCGTTGTCCAAGAGTGGCAAACAACATTGTGCTGACTGCACCCCGTGTTGTTGCACGTGATGAACTTGATCTGATGTGTCTGACGTGGCAAGCTGGGAGCCTTGTGTGCTATGCTTCTTTCACCTCTTCACCATTTAGCACTGTGGATTCTGCAAGCGATGAACTAGTACAAGTTCATATTAGGTACATAGGATTTCTGCCTTTCTGAATGTGCTTGCCTCATGCTGTGACCCTCCTGATCCTGCCGTGTGGCTAACACGCTTTGCCTTCCGCACGTGCTGGCCAATAAGCTATATGATTTGACAATTGAGAACACGCTAAGTAACTTCCAACATTGTTGTTTGTTGCGCTCGTTTGCACGTAGCCTGCTGCTGCATTGACTGACAAAAATTACACTAAATGTTATAATAGCTGATTATACCTAGCAAATGTTAAAATGCACTGTGCGCTATTCATCATGGCTTGAACATTGTGGGAAACATGCAGTTATTATAGTGATAATGCTTCATCGACCACATGGATGACAAGTGGGTGGTATGTGGATTACTCGAGGACGACATGTGGGTGGTACGTGGCCTACTCGAGGACGAACAAGTGGGTGGTACGTGGCCTACTCGAGGACGCCAAGCGGGTGGTGCATGGGCAAGATGTGTATGTTAGTCGATAGCTTGTGACTTGCTGGTGCGGTCCAAACTCTTGTCTTTGCAGCCTGTTGACCGATTGAAGGAGCAGGGCAGAATAGTCGCGTACGTAACGTACCTACAACACCAAGTCTTAGAGGTGGACCTTCGTGGGGGGGTCGAGAACTTAACTACAAACAATCATGGTGCATTTGCTCCAAGTCCGCCGTTCGACAGTGCACTTGATGATAATCTACTGCCAATGCGCTCTCTTCTTTTCAGTAATGGTGGCCAAGCCCCATTTGCACGTTTCTGATGATTTGGAGGACGTGGTTGACGATGAAGAAGATGAAGAATGGAGGCGATGGGGAAGGTTCAAAGCCTACCCTCCCAAGGAAGATCCCGACACCTTGGTAGATTTCTCTGAGATGGGTGCAAATGAACTCGTTCCACGATCTCAAGGAAGAGGTTCCATCTGCTTCGCAAAGCTTCGTGGAGACTTCGCGACGAAGGAGGTGGCTCAAGCTGTGGGCCAAAGGTGGAGCAATATGATGATGAGCGGAGGGTTATATCATAAGTCGTATGTCGTCGATAAACACACCGTGGCTTTCACGCCTGAAGACTCAGATATGGTTCATGAGATGAAACGGTTTCTGCTGCTCCAGCCGGAGGTCAGTGAGTTCGAGTACGACGGGAAGAAGTATTACCCAGACGGCAGAGTCCACGGTGAACGTGAGAGCAGACACAGAAGAGAAGAACTATGAAGCAGTGTCTGCTCTGTGGTTTTTGAGTAGAGCGACATCCATTACCGCAGGAATAAGCAAACAGGCCCGAGGCCTTCGGATGATGAGGGTTGAAACTTGAAAAAAACTATCGACCGCGGGCCCTTTTCGGAGCCCGCCGGCCGCTGATTGGATTTATCTACGGCGCTGGGCCTCCGAAAATTTCATAGATGACGACCTTTCTTTTCAGCAAGGCTGGGGCTGTGTACTGGCGGTTTAATATAAGGGAGGAGACAAAAAAGGCTGTAAGAGAGGATGGAATGGAAATCGAGGAGAGAAGAAATAGAGAAACTGGTCAAAAGAGGGGCGGATAAAATGGGACACAGAAAAGGGGGCTGTTCACGACGAAGCCAGGGAAAATGGAGAGGAAGGACGTGAAACGGGGACAGAGAAGGGAGGCTTTCCATGACAAGGCCTGAAGACATGTAACCGATGAAGAGGGTGAGGGAGGAAGGAGAGTCAGGAGAGTCAGGAGACCCATGAGAAAAGATGAATGTATGAATTTTTGTCTTGTTGCACAAGTGCCAATTGTGTGGAAGCCTGAGTGTGACTTCAGCTAGAAGGCGGAAAGAGCCAACTGGCCTACGTAGCTAAGTTGGTACACCCATGAACTGTTGAAATACACACCTGAATTCGAATCCAGATGGAGCCAGATGAATAAGGTCCTTTGAATTTAGCACTGCATAGATGCCTGGTTTCTTCCATTAGCCCCTTGGAGGCTGTTTCTTTAGTACTTGGTGTAAGTTGTTCTCAGAATTTTCTCAGCCGAAGCCGGGTAATGGCCCTGGTGCTGTATTTTTATGGGACGCTGGGCCCGGTTCCCAGCACGTGCTGCTCCCCACGAATAGATTGCAGTATTTTGTCCCAAAAAAAAAAAAGAAAAAAAAAGAGGATGAATAAAGACCAACTCATTCTAAATAGCTTGGGGAAGTTGGGGCTAGTCAGTTCGACAATGAAATCTCAAGGCCAACCCCCGTCTTTTATTTTCATCTCGTATTCGGTCAGTAGTGGAGAGACTCCAAGAGAGGCTCATTGTTTTGTTTTTTTTTTTTTTTTTTTAAATCCCTTCTGCAAGGCCTCTATACCGGTAGTGGTGAGAGAACCACCAGGATTGAGGCCGTCTTGGGGCTGCCCCATCTATTGGTGGGAAGCGGCACCTGCTGCAAACCGGGTCCAGTGTCCCTCGTTGTAAGCAGTATCACTGTGTGACAGTGTGTGACAACTTCAGAACAAATGCCTGTACAATGAGCTTTTTTCACACTTTGTCTCGTCTTCATGTGCTTTGAGTTTACTCGATGTATGTGCTTTGACTTGACTTTCTCTACTTGAGATATTCACCGA